TTATCTCAAACTCTTTGAAAAAACTGAAAAGGAGGGAACACTTCCACAGATGCATGGGTTTACTTTTGGGGTTTCTGTTCCACTCTGTTGGTCTATATGTCTGTTGGTCTATATGTCTATATGTTTGCAGGTACCCTGATACCAAAGCCAGCTAAGGACATTCAACAAAAGACAATTACAAAAAAAAAAAAAAAGACAATTACAGGCCAATATCCCTGATGAGCATACATTCACAAACCTTCAACAAGATACTAGCAAAGCAAATTAAACAGCACATTAAGAAGATCATACATCATGATCAAGTAGGATTAATCCCTGTGATGCAAGGATGGTTCAACATACACAAATCAATAAATGTGATACACTGCGTTAGCAGGATGAAGAACGAGAATCATATAATCATCTTAATGCATAAAAATTTGACAAAATTCAGCATCCTCTCATGATAAAAACTCTGAACAAATTAAGTGTAGAAGGAATGTACCTCAATAAAATAAAAGCCATATATGACAAACCCACAGGTAGCAGCATACCCCCAAGTCATTCTTGATCTCAATATCCTGCTGCAATTTGATTGCAGCACTTACCACTACTGACTGCTTTATTTGCTTGTTCGTTTATTGTCTGTCTTCCTGTGGTAGAGCCAGGGGCATTGCCTATCTCCTTCACTGTCCTATGCTTAGTACTTAGGAAGGTGGTTGGCATATAGCAGTTGTTCAAGCGTCTGTCGAATGAATGATTAAATTCCACGGCAGACTACAGACTCTCTGAGGGCAGGGGACGTGGGAGAATCACCTCTTCATGATTCATAGTACCTACTAGATTATTTTGACTATTTGTTGAATAAAAGAAAAAGCTCTTCATATTTAGCCTATGCTATTATGATTTCATGTAAGCTCATTTCAAATGAATTGCTCTATTTTCAAAGGGAACTAGAGTAGAACCTTTGCCTTCATGAATTTAACATTTGCGGTTGTCTCTTTGCAGGTGACCTGGAAGTTCACGACATGAAATAATTTGCAATTTTGCTGAGATTCATTTGAATCCTAGACACTGGTGAACAGGACTGAGTCTCTCAGAGACTAACGTAGCCAGGAGCCAGCGTGTGGCCCAGGACGTGTGCATTTGGAGGTAGGTTGGGGCTTAACTTAGGATATTGTGTGTATGTAAAATATTTTTTCTTCTGCCAGAAAAGGATGCCTGCGATGACAACAGCCTCAAGAACTGATGAGGTAAGTGAAAGTAGACTAAAAAAGTATTAGTTCCTAGCCAGAAAATACTCCTTTTTGGATAAAAAGAGTGAAATGTTGAATTCGTTGGTGATTACGATCTATGATATCGAGCCAGCCATATGTTCTTTATGAAAATTTAAAACAAAATTTGTGAAATGGATTTAGTAAGTGTTTCAGCCAGGACAGAAACTGATCATCAAGTGAGATTTGAATCTTTTATGTATAATTTCTCAGTTCCATGAAACTACATGGCATGGGGAAAATGATATATTATGATGGTCTTTATGAATTTGGGGATTTTCAAGGGTTTGAGGAATTCACCCTGTTGAGTTAAAGAATCTATCGTTCTTTAATGAGCTAACAGGGAGTTGGCATCTTCAAAAACGAGATGGTGATTAGCCTATAAAAAAGAATTAATTGGGATATAAACATGGGCAGAATTTAAAGGTACAGAACCCCCCGTTCTTGTGGCTGAAGTATTCATTTCTCTCCTTTCCTTTCACATTCCATTCTCATCACTGTGTTCTGTTGATCCTTTCTCCTCAATTCCCCTGCCGGCCATTGTCCCCTGGAAATGTTCTACCATTAACAAATGTCTCGCTGTTTAATGTTCTCTCTGAAAGTTCAGAAAATGACAGAGACAATGTCTAATTATTAGCTTGCACAGTATGACCAGTGTCAACATTGTTACATGTTGTATAATTTCATGGGCAGAATCTATTTTATTTAAATATCATCAGACTAATTTATTCTGGATCAATGGGCAGGCTGATAACAATTATGATTGTATAGACATAACCTATTTTAGGGGCAGATCCATTTCATCCTAAATGATCGAAAAGTAGCAGCAGGATGTTTTGATGTATTAACTGGTATGTTTTACATTTCTGGTATTGCCTTGTACCTCTTGCCTTTCCTCCCCCTTCAGAGAGTGGTATGCCACCGGTTAGTATGTTAAAATATTATCCCGCCAGGTTTGGATTGATTGGTGTAAACTAAGAGAGCAAGAGTGCAGGTCTTAACTGTGAAGTTTCAAAGGCTGAAAACCAAGCATACAGTTTCTTGATTTGCAAGAATACACAATTAGATAGTTTTTCTTATTCCTGGAAATAGACAAAGATTGTCTGGATTGGGGGACAAAAAAGGGATAATTTGGGGAGGAACAGGAGAGCTGAGCTGTGTCTCTGAAAATGGGATCATTGCTTCATCTCTGTGCTAGCCTGGAAAACCCTGGATGAGGATGAAATGGGATGAAAGAAATTCCAGTAGTTTTCTTGGGAATCTGAAAGCAGAGAAAAGCTTCGCCCTGTGCCCTCTGGGTAAAACCCAAGAAAGCAGCACAGCCTCAGGTTACTTGCCCTCTGGGGATTGTATTTAATCATTCACTACCTTGCTTGTCCATTCAGCAGGTTTTGTTTTTTTTTTTTTTTTTACCTCCTATGTGGTAGACTGTACTTGGCATTAGAGATACCAATGCGTAGGAAGGAACACGGCTGAGGAGCAAAGGATCAGTAGGGCTTGATCTTTCTCAACAAGACTTCTTGTCCACAGTCTGTGCTAACAAGGTGATGGTAACTCCATCCCTCTAGTCTTCAGGACAAAACCTTGGCATCATGTCCAGCTCATCTTTCTCTCACATCTTATATCCAATCCCATAAGAAGTTCTGTTGGTTCTACCTTAAAAACATTCCCCAAATCTCAATGCTTCTCTCCACCTCCACTGCTACTGAAATTGCCCCAATGGTTCTCCTTGCTCCAACCTTCTTCCCAAAATATGGTATCAACATAATAACCGGAGAAGTCCCTTTACAGTCTGTCAAATTCTATCACTTCTTTGCTCAAATCCTTCAGTAATTGCCCATTTCACTCACAATAAGAGCCCAACGTAACCTGCCCTGCCCCATTGCCTTTCTGAATGTATCTCTTGCTTTTATGACTCTTGCTCACTCCACTCTGCCACACTGGTCCTACCTGTTGTTCCTTAAACAAGCCCACTTTCGCCTTTGGGCCTTTGCACATGCTGTTCCCTCTGCCTGGAATGTCCTCCTCCCAACTATCTACTTGACTGATTTCTTCACCTTTTTCAGGTCTTTGCTCCAATGTCACCTTTTCAATGGGGTCCATTCTGACAAGTCTATTTAAAATTTCAAGTGGCCACCCCTAGCCTGCATCCCTAAATACTCTTCACCCTACTCTATTTCTCACACACATAATTTACTTATTTGTTATGCTTAGTATTTACTGTTTATTTCTGTATCCCAGAATGAATGCTTTGTGAGGCCAGAGAGCTTTGTCTGTTCACTGTCATTTCCCAAGAGTCTAGAACAGTGCCTGGAACATAAGAGGTGCTTGCAAGATGTTTGCTGGTGTAGAATCTTGAATGAATTGCTTCACAGCATGGTGCAGGAGGCAGTAGAATGGTTGCTTGAGCACCAAAAAGCACTACAATTGTAGTAGAAGGTCTTAGCCCCACGGAGTTCCCTGGCCCTGGAGGGGGAATGGAGGAGGGCTGAGAAATGGTGGAGAAAGAGCTCCACCTGAGAGAGTGTTGGGTGAGAACAGAGGTCACTGCAGAAACCAGCAATGTGGATGAGTGATTGGGACCTGAGGAATGAGGGTGATGGGGAAGCTGGGAGCAGAGGGCAGGGTGGACAGTTGTCCGCCAAAAATCAGACCCACACCATGCCAACACTCTGCAAGCCCCTTGCTATTAAGATGCAGCTTTGGGTAGAAGGACAATTAATTTTTCTTGTAGAATGTAAATTACAAAAAAAAAAATTACTATGAAATGTAGAAAATATTACATGTTTTTGGCACTTGAGTTGTGTAGACAGATTTATACAAACAACTTGGCTAACCTCTGATTTCTCAGGAAACTTGAATCCTGTCAATTTGCCTCATAGTAGACATCTGAATTATGTTACTGGAAAATGAATAAATGAAAAAATGGCTGTCTTATATAAGTTTTTTTTCTTTGTGCAAAAGTCAACTTTTCATGTCATGCATTATTTTAAAAGTCAACTTAGTAAGATTTTTAGATTATGGTCTAATTTCTCAGAAGCCTAAGAGAGGGTATTTTATATGTATCTCAGTATCTTGCCATTGCTTGTTCTAATAGGCCCGGTGTACTTACCATGCAGACAACCAAATGGGCAGCTTGTTTCCATTTATGCATTTACAAAACATCAAATACCTACCATATGTGAAGGATTCTCTACAAATGAACTGTACACATGCTGAATTGTCAGGAGCTTCATGGATTTCTCCATCTGGGGCATCAAGAAGACAAAACTCCCTGGCCTCACATGTCTGAAATGGAATTTATCCTCAACCCCAAACTTTACTTTTTGTTCCTTAACTTGGAAAAGTCATCTCCATTCACCTAGTCATCAAGCCAGAAACCCTCGAAGTCCTTCTAGAACAATGCTACTCAAAATACAGTCTGAGGTTGAGTGCTTGACCACAGATTATCATCATAGCAAGATTAAGTACAGATAAAGAAAGTAAACATTAGGAACTCTTATAGCAATTCGACATTTCTACAATATCCAAGCACATGATAATTTTCCCTTTGTATTACTTTAGAAAAGTATTGGTCCAAAATGGGCCAGAAATTCTAAAAACTGTCTTTCACCAAGATAGTTTTGGAAGATCTGTTCTAGACCACTTGTTTTCTCTTACCAAGTAGATAAGGATTCTGAAATACCTCCCAAATGTAACTCAAATTCATTCCCTTCTCTCCTTTAAATTCAGGGTATCATTACTTACCTGGGCCGTGACAATGACCAGGTAGCTGCTTTTCCCTTCTTTAATCTTCTCTACTCCTCCAACCATATACCATATTGTCTCCAGAGTAGTATTTAAATCTTTTATTCTCCATTAGCTACAGAATGAAGTATACGCTCCTTTGCATAATTCTTCAATGCTTTATGCTGTGGTTTGGATGTGGTTTGTTTGATCCCACCGAGTCTCATGTTAAAATTTGATCCTCAGTGTTGGAAGTTAGCCTGTGGGAGGTGTTTGGGTCATGGGGCCAGATTACTCAAGAATGGCTTGGTGCCATTCTTCGGAGTGGGAGTTCTCTCTCTTAATTTTCAAGAGAACTGGTTGTTGAAAAAAGCCTAGCACCTTCTCTTTCTCTCTCTCTGGCTTCCTCTCTCGCCATGTGATCTGCATGTGCTGCTTTGCTTCATTTTCCACCATGCATGGAAGCTTTCTGAGCTTCTCCTAAGAAGCAGATGTTGGCACCATGCTTCTTGTACAGCCTGCAGAACCAAGAGCCAAATAAACCTTTCTTCTTTATGCATTATCCAGGCTCAGGTATTCCTTTATAGCAACAAAAATGAACGAAGACACCCTCCATAATCTGGCCCGTTGCTATTGTTTCAGTTTCATCTTGTGCCACTCTCTGCCCTATAGTCAATACACCATCTGTATCAAGCCTAAGGGGTTTCCTAAACACACCTTGCTTTTGCAGACCTCTACAACTTCAGAAATTCTGTTCTATATGATAACTGTCTGCATTTGTTCTTTGGGAAAATCCTTTTCTGCAAAACTTCGCTCATCAGAATCTGATTGGGATAATTGAAAGCAAGACAAAGTCCATTGGTACATCTGGGTGAGAAGTGAATGGGAGGGGGTGAGAATATTGGAGCAGTGCAAAAGATTGTCCAAAGCTTGGGGTGAGGGTTTCTCAGCCAGATGGAGCTGTAGGAATGACTCTGGGCAGATTCAGATTTTAGAAACAAGAAACAAGTCAAATCTAACCAGGAATGTGGTGTTTCTGAGGCGCAAACTCTAAGGTCAAGTGAAATGTCACAAGGCATTGTCCAAAATCGGAGCTGAGGAATGATACAGGATCCAGACGAAGGTATATCTGAAGTCTCCAATGGGAACAGGGAAAGTGCATGTTCCACCTATACTAAGGGTCTGCTAGATGCTTTGTTGACATTTCAGCTGGTTTTTGCTTCTGCACACCCCATATGCAGAGATTCTCACTCTGGGATGCTTCATGTCAAGGTATCTGATACATTTTACTCATATAACACTTTGTCTCATCTTCTTGCTATAGTTAGCATATGTGCATATGTTAATTCTTATTACCTATTTGCCTGTATTAACTCACTGTATTGTATTTATTTATTTACATATTTTCCGTTCTGCTAGTTTATGAGCTTCTGGAGTACAAGAGTGAATCTTGCTTGTCCTCATATCCTCAGAGCTAGCACAGTTTGTTAATGTATAACTGGCATTTAAGCAAATGTTTATTGAATGAATTATTAAATGAATGCACAAGTGTTTATGATATTCAAGGAGCTGGACGTAGAGCAACCTTTTGACTGCCTTTTTAGTATGTTTCACAATTGACTGTAAAATCTTGGGCAGTGCCACATCTAGGCAGTGATCAAGTTTCCAATTAGCACTTTGCGGGGAAAATAAAATCTACAACTAGTACTCAACACAATATTGACTTGTTCGGGTGATGTAGCTCAGGGTTAGATTCATATGAGAAAATGAATTGTCCAGGTTATGAATGAATCTAGTCCAGAGTCAGCAAGTTTTTTCTGCAAAAGTTCAGATAGTAAATATTTTAGACTTCTCAGGCCATATAGTCTCTGTTGCATCTACTCTAACTTGGCATTTGTAGCGTACAGGAAACCATAGCCAATGTATAAATGAATGAATGTGGCCATATTCCAGTAAAATTTTATTTACAGAAACAGGAAGTAGTCTAAATTTGGCCTGTGTGCTATAATTTGTCCACCCTTGATGTAGTCAGTTCTTGTGAAACTTTGTTACCAAAAGAGATCTGAGCGTGGAAGAAAAGAATAGACACCGATTGTTACTGTATACCCTGAGCTAATTACTTCATGTTAATTATCTCACTTATTTCTCACAGCACTCTGCAAGATGTATAATATTATCCCATCTGATGGATGAGGAACATAAAGTTCAAAATATGTAAGTGGTGGATTGATTAGATCACATAAGCAATCAGTGGTGTGAAGTCTTTTGATTTCAACCTGATCGAGGTGATAACAAAACTCCGATTTCATTCACTGAAATACTCCATTTCTACTTCATTGTCAATTGATTCCTTGTTGTGACAGATGTGAATTGTGACAAGTTGAACGTTGTCTTTGATCAGGCGTGAGAGGCATGGCTGTGCTGTGGTAGGAACCCCAGTAATCTCAAGTACCCTAGGTACCAATGTGGGCTGTGAAATACACACTGCTGGGGAAGGGGTTTGGACCTTAAGGTCATGTGGGTGTTTTGTTTTGTTTTTTTATATTGATGAGTTTAGTCATTTTCCAAGGAGAGCCTGTAGGGTTCTCAGTCACACTGGCTGTTCATCTCAGAGCATCAAGGGCTCTGCTTCATGTTGTCCTCACTCTGAGAGTCAGGCTGAAGGATCCTCCAGCTAAGGGGTAGCCCTGATACCTATGACAGGGGGAAGGGAATAGGGTAGATCACCCATAGATTTTATGAGCCTTTCTACAGAATCCATATACATTAGTTCCACTTGCCCTTCACTGGCTAAAGTAAGCCATCTGGTCTTCATCTCACTTGAAGGGGCGTACGTACCCTGCCATGTACCCAGGATGAAGATAACTGTAAGTGATAGCACTAATGACTATCAAGACTTTAGCAGGAAAATTAAGATTTTTTGCTAAGTAGATTAAATGTCAAAAGTTTTTACATCTGAAATTCTGCCAGTATGTGTGTGTGTGGGAGAAAGCGGAGGTCCAGACGCCTTCAGAACACATTAATGTTAATATCACCTTATGTATTAATTACAAAAACATTCTTTTCTGGCTCATTGACTCCACTGTATGTTCAGATAATGAGTACCTTCTCCAAATATTTTGGCAATGAGAAACGGAGGCATTCTACAAAGCGTTAGATATTATTTAATATCTTGTGGAATTGTCAAATCAAGGTTTAAAGAAAATTTAGTAATGTTAGAAGTAGCAATTATATGATGATGGTGTTCTTCTACGTGGAAAAGTAGCATGGAGGTAATATGGCCAACTTGGAAACTTAATTAGGGAATTGAATAAGGGTAAACTTGGCTCTTTGGATGTATTTGATACAGAGCCAAATTCTATCCTCAATTACCCCCATACAATTTTACCAACAGAATTGGATCCGTCCTTTGTTACTATCTGTAAATGCACCTTATGTGCCATGTCTCCTCAACCCCAACGATGTGAGGAACTGCTTAGAGAACTGGAGGGTAATTTGAAAGGGCCCTAAATCTGTGACCAGTTTTCATGAAGCCTTTATCACTGGTTGAAACCCACAGGAGGCTGTTCACGCTTCATGAGACTATGGCTTCATTCATCACCATGGCCTCCATCTGGCTAATGTCTCCACGAGAATTGTTTCTGTTAACACTTAGGAGGGGTTGGAGGGTGGCGGTGTGGTTGAAGACAGTCGAGCTTCCTGCCTCCATCCAGGAGCTGAAAGGAAAGGACTCCCTGTTGGGGTTCATGTTTCACCGTGAGGATGTTGTGCTCACTGATTCCACATATTCCCACCTTGAACTTCTTTGTCCGGGTCAGTAATGCTGAAGGGACCGTGGGTGTTCAGTGGGGGTGGAAGGTCAGAGATGATCTCAATTTCAGTCTACCTGCCTCCATACTGTGGCTCAGAATACACCAGGGTGGATGTGGGCCCAGAAATGCTGGTCAGAAGTTGTGGAGTCTCTTTAGATCAACGAGATTTTTGACTGAAGAGTTGTTGTCTAAATTAATTTTCCAGGAAGGACAACTATTCTCTAGTCATTTTAGGAATCCGAGTAAGTGAGTTAAGCTTTTACTGTCTCTATGCTGGGCTCATTCTTGGTCCTTATGCTATTACATTCTCTCTTATTTCCTGTAATGAATATAACAGGGAAAAATATAGAAACATATCTTTCTCGCTGCAACATCAGAAGGCCAAGTAAACAAAACTTTAGTAAATTTTCTGATGTTTCCTGTCCAAAAAAATCACAATCTCAGAAATCATAGCACCATAAGAGATGCCCTACTGGGCCAGACCAATGGTGCATCCACCCAACATCTTGTCCTTGGCTGTGATTCTAACCAACATTTTATTGAGAGGAGTGGAGGGTAGTACCCTTTTATGAAGCCAATCTCAAACATGCCAAATACTTCTTAACGTTAAGGAGGTTCCATTGCTATCTACTTTTTCTGAAATCACTTAATGGATTTGTAAAAGTAGAAAGAGTTGAAAAGTTTTTGCTTTGCTCTACCAGCACACATTATCTTTACATGGTATAGGATAACAAGAAAACCTATTTAACCTCCATTACTCTTGGAAAAGGGGAGAAGAAGGGTCTATTGAGTTAGGATTTAGGTCCTCTAGACTGATAATTCTTTCTCCCCCTTGGTGTACCCTGGGAGGCTGACCTGTGTAGATGTCATCAACCACTGCTGCCCTCTGACTTCCTTTAGGTTTCAGTTAATGGGAGGCACTGGAAGGCAGTCCAAACGTGGGAAGAGAGAAAGGCTATCTATTCCCTTGGTGTGCTTTCTCCATGGTCTGAGATAGGCAGGGGCTCTACTCCTCTACCCAAGGCTACAGCTGCTGCTGGGCAGCCGTCTCCTACGGCACAAGGTCTCACTGAGTTCTAGCGACTGCTCCCCTTCCTGCCTCATTAGTCCTAGGCTCAGTTTCCCTCTGTTGACCATCCCTGGGTACTTTATCATTCCTTCTTGGTCACCATTAACACTACCTACCATTTTGAAAATGGTCACATTAATAAATCTCCCCAATGTCCCTTTTTAAATGAGGCATCTGTCTCCTGCTATAGGCTCCCGACTGGTGTA